CATTAATGTTTAAAAGAACTTTTTCCAAAAAGAAAAAAAAAACAATAACAGTCCAACTTGGTTACAACTCATTGAATAATAGAATTGAAACAAACCAAATAGAAATCATAAGAATCATGTGAGTAAAATGTTTGCCCCATTCACACACACACATGGACAATGTCAAATTTCAATGATCATTTTAATATAAAAATTACAAATCAATAAGAATGTTCATGAATTAATAAGAAATCGAAGTACACAATCAAACAATAGTAGAATGAAATTGAAAATCAATTATTTAGAATTATGAAGTTTGTACCGCGGAGGATATCGTTCAGAAGAATGATGAAAGCCCCACGATCAAACCATCTGGTTCAAAGAATAAAACTCCATCAAATGACAATACAGACAGATTGTTCCAAATTGAACTTTTAATGATGGAGAAGACTTTTGTCCTATATTTCTCGTGAAGGAAATTTTTGTTTTATTTATCAGATCAGCTAAGTTCAATTTGAAACTAGGGCAATAATCTACCATTTTACTTACATATGATTCAAGAAGATTTTCCCACTTCCACGAATTTCAGACTTTAGCGCATGATTCTTTCTGGTAAACACTTGGAAAAAAAGTTGAATACATTTTAATTTACTGGTCATTAGCAAATGATCTTTTGAATCAAATGGATTCATGTCCTTATCACTTATGGAGAGATGAGATCATCAAGACATGTCTTAGAGTAGTGAATTTAGTAACAGTATCAGTGATGGTAAAAATTATTAGGCATAGAATTTGTGATTTCAGAAGAAAAAAAGTGAATTAGAAGTGTAAGGTAATTTTAATATAGAAAATCTACTGACAGACAAGGAATGAATTCATCCACTTCATTGCTATCAATTCTGAGCCATATCACCTAGCCTGTCCAACTATTGATCGCGTAAACTTAAACCAATTAGTTCGAACCTACCAAAATAACTCATGTCAACTGTTAATGATTTCATGTGTTGATACGATACGAAGATTGTTGAACATATGTAACACATATCTCGACTATTCAATTAAAGAGAACTCACAATCGATTTGTCATCTTTGCATAGCACCCTACGTGTTATCCCCTCAGCTACTGAGTCCTGATTGCCACTTGCTTGTGCAATGGGGTGAATTTAAATTCACTACACAGCTGACGAGTCCCAAACAGGACGAAACGCGCGTCCTGGATTCCACTGCTACCCACTATCCATCATAATTTTTAACATGGTTTGCATCTAAATTATTTTGCTGTTATCGTTGAGCAAAATGTAATGTTGGCTTGGTAATAAATAGAATAGAAAGAAGTAGGTTCATAAACCTATTTGCATGAAGTGATAGTCGAAGGTGGTGCAAGTTACAGGATTAAGTCTGCATGATATTACAACTAGTTTTTGAAAGAGGTAATTCTTTCGATTGCTGAATACTTGTCTCACTTCGTTTAAATACTAATGTATTTGGAGTTTAGCCAGAGGCGTTTTTTAAAAAATATGCTACCCTCTCTACCAGTTTCTTACTCTTCGTAAAATCAGTCGTTAAGACACTTGTTCTATTAGTATCTTGTGTCTCTACTGTTTTATCCTCTTTTTATGATCATTTTTTGAATAGAATAAAAGTTATTTAGTCTGAGGTTTTCATCTCACTAACTAATCCTTATTTCAACTAAACTTACGTAATGTATTAGATCTTAGTGAAAGTATTTATGGACGAATACTTTTATGTATGTATCAGGATTACGTGGATTAAATAACTGACATGACACTAGTTTAGAAACTTTTCAAAACAATTAAGCAATAGTCAGGTGATTTCTACTTTGAAGCTTCTCTGGACTGACTACTCGTGAGTACTAACCCTAAAACCTTCATTTTACAAAGTTAACCTAACTCTTGTTAAACCAATCAGTACAAACCATTCAGTCAACTTGTTTATAATGACCAGAAATGTATATAAAGATTAGTGTTTTCTTTTCCAAAATCTTAATTTTTCCTATTCACTGAACTATTTACGTCTTTGGATATTCCTCAGCTACATGAGACATAACTATACATATGGATGAAACCTAATTGTTAACAATATACAAATAGAGATATAATTTACTCGCTTATCATTCCTAATTGTATCTATGGTTTTTCCCAAATTTTTCTTTATGAATGATCAATTCACTAGTCAAGTATTAAGATATGTGTTTCATTGGA